AACTTATTCCATAAGTGTGTTGCTTTTAAATCCAGATATTGCATTTGAAGCGAACTAACATCAATTTAAAATGGCTCAATGTTGATCTCATTTGTTTTTGTGTTGAGAGGATCTACTATGAAAGAATACGTGTATTTGTTTAAATATATCAGTGAATTTATTTTTCATTTTGTTCATTTTGTTTATAGTAATTCTTAAGTGATTCGTATTAATAGTAGCATTGGTTTTATCACGATATTTTTTCAGATCTTTCGAAATAAAGTAATTTATTGCTCTCCATATCTTCAACAAAAAGATGCGAATATTTTTTTTCGAAAATATCCACTTCTTCAAGCAAGGAATAGGCTTGGTTATCAACTATGAAGTTGATTGTTTCAATTCAGGATGGACAATGTAATGGTACATTGATATAGTAACTTAAAGTTCTACTTAAATAGCCAGTGTATATCGTAAATTACCGACAGTTATATAAAGCATTTTCATGAGTTCATAAAAAATAAAAATGATTATCAATAGATGTGCATAGAGCTGAAGAGCCGCATCTTGACTTTAAAATAGCCGCATGCGACTCGCGAGCCACAGGTTGACGACCCCTGACTTACGACAATCTCAGATTTTATCCACATGACGTGGCCCTAAAGGTAAAATTGTTTATGGATGAATTACAATGGACAACAAAGCCTCGTTAATAGTTTTCAAAAGCTTATAAAATAAAAGAATAAATGTTAGCGTTAAGTTGGTTGGTTTATTTTTCTCAAAAATATTTAGGTTCTATTTTAATTTAATACGAGAAAACTGGATACAAATTTTTAGTAGAGCTTGTATAGCTTTATTATATTAATTATAGAATTTTCTTGTTTATTATAATTTATAAGCAAAAAAAAAGGTAAGTATTGATAATTGTCAAAAAGATAACTATCAAAAGAGTAGCAAAACTTGTATTAAATAAATAACACTGACCTCCCTTTATGCCCTGTTCACAGTCATATTTCTTATTTTTTTGTATTAAAACAATAAAATAACATAATTTTCACATGAAGCAACAATTAATTACACAATAACCATTATACATTTACATCGATTGTTAAGAATATAAAGACAATATAAAATACGTTGTAATACAATCCTTTATTATTTTTAATGACATGTTACAACCAAACACAGACTAACAAAAACATAGGAACGTTCTGTGTATCTAACATGTTCTGTTTTTATTTATTGTTCACTAATCACGTGTAAAGATCGATGGTTTCAAGATCTCAGTTTTAAATAAAAAATAGTTTCAACCTGTTATGTATAATATAGGTCTAATTTGTTGATAAACACATTTCTATCCAATTCACATATTTTGTTGTGGGCATTGTAGGCCTCAACATACACAGTGTACTGTTGATATTTTGTTTGTAAAAATGTTCCGGCATAAGCCTATTGAAATAAGTGGTTTATATCATTGTAAACAAGACTTGTACTCTCATACACACACATATATATATATATATATATATATATATATATATATATATATATATATATATATATATATGGTGACAGGACAAATGATCTCAGGACAAATGATCTCAGACAAAATATCTCAGACAAAATATCTCACGGACAAATGATCTCTGAGATCATTTGTCCTGATATCATTTGTCATGGAACCATATATATATATATGTATATATATATATATATATATATATATGTATATGTATATATATATATATATATATATATATATATATATATATATATATATATATATATATGAGAGAGAAACAGAGGAACTGCATGTTTAGTTGGTAGAGCATACGAATGCTAACTCGTAAGACTTAAGTTCAAGGCGCACGTTCAAGTCCATAGAACGTCACTGAGTCTAGCCAGGTCTGATGGGTACCTGACTCACGTTAGGGAACCTAGAGACACCTGGGCATAGTGCTGACTAGGCTATCCCTTCATATCCCGAGGTTGCTGTAACAGGTAAACTCTACGTCACTTGCACCACGACCGTCATATTCAAATGGGTACTTAACTTATACATGAACTAGTTTAAAGGAAGAAATGTAATATATATATATATATATATATATATTATCATTATATATAATTATATATATATATATATATATATATATATATATATATATATATATATATATATATATATATATATATATATATATATATATATATGTATATATATACATATATATATAATATAGTGTTGTGTGGTGTTTTGGCTGTAAGTATAATGTTATAAGAACAGTATCAGAACACAGAATACCCGCTTCTGTTGCTTACGTTGTACAACATCATTATGTTATATATCCAACATCTGCCATTCGTAACACATGCAACTGACATATGTCATCCATCCGAATGTCAACTACATGCGTCATTCATTCAATGCTCAGTAAACATTAGCCTTCGATCATCAATTCAACTACTTCTATTACACAACACACCTTCGTAAAGTACTGTTCTATCAAAGTAAAGTTGAATATAAAACAATTTTACATCATAAATTCCCACTTTACCATTAAAATATGGATGAATGGACTAAAATACACACACAAAGTGACTTAGATATAATTTAGTTACATTATAAAAATAAACAGCACCAAAGTTCAAAACCAAATTATATTGGTTAGTTATTAGCTATAAATTAGAATATATTCCTCCAATTAAATTTTGCAAAAAAAAAAAGAAAAAAAACAACAACAATTTTTCAACATATTCGTACGAACTGAAAATATTCCTATGCAAAGACATTCTTTTAATAGAATCGTTGCTAAGAATTCAGTTTGCTACTGTGATAAGTTATGTTTCAAATGTGATATTACCAGAATCAGTGTTTCTTCCAGTTTTTTTTTATCTTGGGGGGGGGGGTGGTACTGGTAAAAGTATATATTCTCTACATAAAGCCCCCCCCCCCACCCCACCCCCAAGAGATGCCCGGAAGAAACTCTGGATATTACATATTGTTAATTCTAGAAATCGTTTTTGAAGCAAAGCTCTCTTTTTACTTTCTCGTATATAGGGCCTACGTAGTATAGAGAAAGTATTGTAATCGTGCAAAAAAAAAAAATCGAGATTTTTACAAATCTCGACGTTTTACACCTCACTGATACGGAAAAACATAATTTTGCAATCTTGTCCGTATGTCTGTGTGTGTGTGTCTGTGTGTGTGTCTGTCCGTGTGTAAACACGATAACTTGAGTACCGTTACAGCTAGGTTGATGAAATTTTATATATAAGTATTTTATCAAAATCGTAGATCCGTATCAACTTTTGAGCGATTTCCGATAACCGGAAGTGGTACTTTTCTTACTTTGAATTTTTTAAAAGCCTATAACTTGAGTACTATTTCAGATAGATAAATGAAATTTCACATGTAAGTAAAAGATCTAATTCTCTACCTTCTGTAAAATTTTGAGTAATTTCCGTTGACTGGAAGTAGTAATTTACGCTACTTCCGATTTCTCAAAAAACTAATGTAAATTTTAAAAGTACTAATAATATTGCGCACTATTATGCGCTTTTTTTATTTGCGTTCACTTGGTGTGCAATTAATTTGTCTACGAGAGTTTATTCTATTTTTAAAACTTTAAGTATTTAAAATGGATTAAAAATCATGTCTATAGCCCGAGTTTCCATCCCCTGTTATTTTATTTAAGAATATTCGAGAAAGTTTAGGGGAGATCACTCCCGGTTTATTATAAATAATGTCTAAACCTTAAATTAACATTTCAGCAGTATAGTGGGGTACATACTACATTAGAAAAAAATGTAGTTTGAACTTTGGCCTCCAATTTTTTATTTAACGTCTGTCTATTTATAGTCGACGGTAGTAGTGAAGCGCTGAAGTTGACTTGATAAATATGTAGATCATGTACACTCGAATACGTAGGTCAGTAGCGTCACATGACATTAGGGGTGGGAGGGGTGGGGTGGTCAACGCACCAGGTGACACAATTTAACCATCCCAGAGTGCTACACATTACCATGGTTGTGGGGGCACACCTAAGCAAATAACTGCTACATTTAAGAAGAATGTACTATATATAGTTGATTGTATACATTTTGAAAGTTATGTAGATCGTTGGGCATAGCCCGACATTATTTGGAACGTGGGATCACACCAAGTTTCTCGAGATTTAGATAGGGGTGCGTCATACCCCAGTCTGTTTTATCACCCGACCTAGCGACGCCATAGACGAGATGAGGTATCATCAATTTACACTTCATTCCAAGCATTAGATGGGGGGTGTCCACCTCAGTCTGCCTAACATGAAATCTTTAGTTGAGGGTGTATCACGCCCCAGGCTGCTTCATCGAATATCACCCGACCTAGCGACGCCATTGACGAAATCACGTATCACCAATTTATACCTCATTCTAAGCATTCAGCGTGTCTGTTAGTTGAAGGGTGTCCACCTCAGTCTGCCTTACATGAAGTCTGATCATAGGGGGCTGCGTCACGCCCCAGTCTGCTCTATCACCCGACCTAGCGACGCCATTGACGAAATCACGTATCACGAATTTACACCTAATTCTAAGTATGTTAGTTGTTGGGAGGGGGGGGGGTGTCCACCTTACATAAAATCTTTTAATAGAGGGGTGCGTCACGCCCCAGTCTGTTTTATCACCCGACCAAGCGACGCCATTGTCTAGATCACGTGACCACCACCTACGCCTAATTCTAAGCATTCAGCGTATCTGTTCGTTGGGGGGGGTGTCCACCCCAGTCTGCCCTACATGAAGTCTTTAGTAGAGGGGTGCGTCAAGCCCCAGCCTGCTCTATCACCCGACCTAGCAACGCCATAGACGAGATAACGTATCACCAATTTACACCTCATTCTAAGCATTCAGCCTGTATGTTAGGTTTTGGGGGGGGGGGGGAGGTGTCCACCTTACATGAAGTCTTTTAATAGAGGGGTGCGTCACGCCCCAGCCTGCTTTATCATCCGACCTAGCGACGCCATTGTCGAGATCACGTGACCACCACCTACGCCTCACACTCCGCATTCAGCGTATCAGCCAGCTCATCAGGGGGACGCAACTCTATCTGGAAGTTATGCGGCTTCCCGTCCACCCTCAGCTGCTTGGAGTACATGTTAAACGCCGCACCCAGGGACAGCGCCATCTTGCGGCCGTTGTGGGAGGAGTCACAGAGGAAGGCGTGGCAGGTGGCCGAGCGTGACCGTGACGACAGCTCGCGCACGACGATGCAGGTGAAGACACGCCAGTACTTGATGTCCTGCACGCCGTAGGAGATGAAGTCGATCGGCATCAGCCCCAGGGGAGCCGAGCCCTGGACCTTGTTGCTCTTGTGCTCGCGAAGGTCAAGGCCTTTAGGGCTGACCACGACGTAGAGTAGCGGGAGCTCCGCCTGAAAGGTATAGGTTTTGTATTATATTCATCATTAAACGAATTCGTGGCTTATTCAACTGTTAATATCTTAAATAAAAAAAAAATGGTTGTCTCCCTTTATTTAGGGTAAGTTCGTGTTTTATTAAAACGTAATTTAATCATAAATAATTTGCGTTAAGTAAGTAAAGTATTCTTTTGAACCTTTTGGTTCATAAAACAGATTGCAACTGTTTCAGACTTTGGCATTTGGAGGGATTGTATAGTCAGCAATATGCCAAGACAACTTTACTCTCCATATCGTGAGTCAGGATTCAACTATATCTCGGTGGACTCGCTGACGTCTTACTGATTGGAGCACAGAATCCAAACTCGAGACATTCAGTTTAGCAGTCGAATACTCTACGTTTGGACCATATCGTCCCTTGCAAATTTTATCATGTTTTTTTAAAGGAGGTCTATTGTTATACATTTTGAACTCACAAACTACACGAGCCACATGACCGCTAAATCTCATCCTTAAATCATGTTTGGTGTTTGTATTCCTCTAACGCCAATGTTGGAACACCGAACCACCAGAGTTTCTTCCAGGCGTCTCTTCGGAGGGGGGGGGGGGGGGGGGGGGGAGGGGGGGGGGGCGGAGCTCCTCCCGAAAAATGTCTATCGCCCCCCCCCCCCCCCCCCCAGCCCCAAACAATGTAAAATTTCTATAGAAAATATATACTTTTACCAGTGTCCATTCCGTCACCCTAGGAAATTATGGTCCGCCCCACCCACGAAAATTTCAGGTTCCCTCACCCCTTCCTAGGAGAAAAAACTCTGGAAGAAACTCTGTCAACCCTTTCACTCCAGTCCATACAACATGATCTCACCTTCGCCTTGTCGTCAACCTTTGACCTAACCGCCGCCACCATCTCGTCCACCGGTTTCCTCACGTGGTGCAGGCCACACACACCAGACACCACACGGTGACCCAGGTACTTGACCACAAACACCTGAGGTAGCTTGTCCACAACGACGGCAGAGAACTCGGACCTAAACAACCACAGATTCAGGGATATGTTACACTTAGATCTAAACGACAACAACCACAGATTCAGGGATATGTTACACTCGAACCGAAACGACAACAACCACAGATTCAGGGATATGTTACACTCGGACCTAAACGACAACAACCACAGATTCAGGGATATGTTACACTCGAACCTAAACGACAACAACCACAGATTCAGGGATATGTTACACTTGGACCTAAACGACAACAACCACAGATTCAGGGATATGTTACACTTGGACCTAAACGACAACAACCACAGATTCAGGGATATGTTACACTTGGACCTAAACGACAACAACCACAGATTCAGGGATATGTTACACTTGGACCTAAACGACAATAAGCACAGATTCAGGGATATGTTACACTCGGACCTAAACGACAACAACCACAGATTCAGGGATATGTTACACTTGGACCTAAACAAAAACAACCACAGATTCAGGGATATGTTACACTTGGACCTAAACTACAACAACCACAGATTCAGGGATATGTTACACTTGGACCTAAACGACAACAACCACAGATTCAGGGATACATTACACTCGAACCTAAACGACAACAATCACAGATTCAGCGATATGTTACACTTACACCTAAACGACAACAACCACAGATTCAGGGATATGTTAAACAGCACTGTAGCATTTCTTGTTTCAAGTTATAAACAGTTTCATTTTTACACATATCGTAAGAAAATTATATAACAATATAAAACTTCATTTTTTTGCTACGAGTAATGAAAATGTTTAACTTAAACATCACATATATTGTAAGAATATTAGATGAGAAAATAAAACTTGATTTCTAGCTGCGAGTTATGAAATTGTTTAACTAAAACACGGATATTTAATCTTTTTTTTAAAAATAAAACTTAAAGCACAATGTTTTAACCACATTAACGATCTATGGCTATTTAATCTTTTTGGATTAAACTTAAAGCAATATGTTTTACCATATATTAATATTATTCATGGCTATATAATCTTTTTAAAATTTAAATTAAAGTAATATGTCTTAACCACAAACATCAAGCATTAATGGCTTTCAATTAAGTTTTCAATAAACTGAAAGCAAATTATTTAGCTAAAACATTAAACATGGTAAAGCAACAATGTTATAATATTACTTCACAGCATATAATATGGCCTGATATGAGTAAATTCAGCAAATTTAATAATGTAATATCCCCCAGACATTGGGATATAAGCCCGAACAAAGCTAGCGAAACTTTTGTTTTTGTTGATTGATAGGCACATTAGAGTTTGAACTTTGTTTTAGATATTTTATGTACAGACTTGATTTTCTATACATTATAATATTAATTATAGATTAATACCTTTATTAGACTTCGTTCTTAAACTTACTTAAAAAGTAGATTGTAGATTAATGATATGAATAAATAAAAATTACTGCATTCTAAAATACACTCAAACGCAATGAGTAGGATTTAAAATTTTAAAATATCGAAAAACGTGCATTAAAAATATCGGCTGTTGTGTAGTTTAAAGAAGATCTTCTTTAGGCTTAAATAAACACATCGACCTCTCTGATCCTTATCTTTTCAACTCCACGGTTACAACATGTGCCCAATAGACCAATTATTCTTACACAATTTAGCCCTCATCCTTTTTTAACTAGCACTTTTGGTTTATTACTAACTTCAAAATATTTGAATTAATAATATTTAGTGTGAAAAGCTCTAGGAAAGTAGAACTATATTATACATAACAGGTTGAAGCTATTTTTAATTTAAAACTGAGATCCTAAAACCATCGATCTTTTCACGTGATTAGTGAACAATAAATAAAAACAGAACATTTTAAATACACAGAACGCTCTTAAGTTTTTTTTATTCTGTGTTTGGTTGTAACTAGAGTTTCTTTCAGGCGTCTCTTCCGAAAAAATGTTACCGCCCCACCCCCCCCCCCCCCCCCCCCCCGATCGAAATAAAATTTATGTAATTTATATAGAAAATATAAACTTTTAACAGTGTGCGCCCCCCCCCCCCCCTGAAGAAAGTCTACCGCCCGCCCCCCAGAAAATTTCAAGTGCCCCCCCCCCCCGGAGAAAAAAGTCTGGAAGAAACACTGGTTGTAACATGTCATTAAAAATAATAAAGGATTGTATTACAACGTATTTTGTAATGTCTTTATATACTTAACAATCGATGTAAATGCATGTATAATGTTTATTGTGTAATTAATTGTTTCTACATGTGAAAATGTCTTATTGTTTTAATAAAAAAACGAAGGCGATTTATGACTGTGAATAGGGTATAAAGGGAGATTAGTGTCATTTATTTAATACAAGTTGCGCTACTCTTCAGATAATTATTTTTTTGCTAATGAACAATACGTACCTTTTGTTTAATTATAAATGATAATAATCAAGATAATGCTATAATTAATATAATAAAATGATACGAGGTCTACTAAAATTTCGATCCAATGTTTTCGTATTAAATTAAAATAGAACCTAATTGTTTTTTAGAAAAATAAACTAACAAACTTAACGCTGATATTTATTCTTTTATTTTATAAACTTTTGAAATTTGTGTTAATGTACTTTCTTTTCCTAGACGCCCCTGAACATATTTACCTTATTGGCCATGATAGATCAGTACGTGATTACAGAGACCCTTCTCCCACAGTCGTTTCTATTTCTGTCCATGGGTGGCTACAGTGTGAACTTTTGACTCCGCAGCACACTAAACTAAGCAGTGAAGAGAAACCTAGTTTGCACACCATATTTTAATCTAGTTCTTATGCCATTTTTTTTTCCCTTTGATTATTATATATGCAATTGATGTTCGTTGATCATGTCTTTGATGCTATGTAAAATCTATCAAATATATTTCTATTACTGATTTAAATGTTTAAAACAATTGAATTAATAAAAACAAAAAAAAATCTACCCCTCCTCTCTCCCCCTCTATCCACTTTACCCCCAGACATGATAACCCCACAATCCCTTTAACTGTTCCAACGACCCCACCACCCACCGCAACATCAATATCCAGAACTTATTTAAAGTTCTAAATCTTGTCTCTTTCCCCTCATCTTTCACACTGCAACCTTTTGAAAACTCAATGCGACCACTACAACACCCTTTCAACTAGTCAACTTTAGTTGTTTCCCTACATAGAAAATGCTTCACTGTCCCATTGACCCTCTCTGAAAAATTTCCTTTCCTCTCCCCACCCAGACTTCTGACACTTTCATTTGACCTTCACCCCTTTTACTGTCATCCTTTGCAATTTTTTTTTATAATCAAATACATTACATCATGTAAATATTCATTATGTACATTTGCAAAACCTTTCGTTTTCATTTGGTATTCAAAATGATGTTTAAAAATTTGATGTTGATGTACTTGTTTTAATTGCAAATAAAAGTATTTAAAAAAAATGGCCGCTTTCATGTGTAACAATTCACGTTTCTCAGTAAGGGGGCTTATAATATTCAAACACTGTTAGTTAAACTGAACCAATAGCATTTGCTTTTTTTCACTTGACATATTGCAATGTTCGCAGGTGGTTTTGTAGTCAAATTAAACCAAATTTTAACCCACTTCTGATATTGAAAGACATTAAACTTTCAATCTTGTTAGTCCAGAATTAAACTACCTAGTCAAAATCATGACTTGGACGAACCATGTTCTTATGACTTGATGTCAGTTTTGCAAGAAAATGATTAAGCTTTAGATCATGTTATTCATGTATGGTGTTAACTTATTAAAAAATGCAAAAAAAAAAATAAAAAAATGGCCGCGTCATGTGGATAAAATGTAAGATTGTTGTAACATTTAGCGTGAACAACAGCGCCACCCCTGCGAATTTGAGTTTTTACTCAAGGCCTTCATACAACAAGCCCCATGGCGTGCTGGGCGGTAGTGTAGGCCATGGGTCGGCAACCTGCGGCTCTTTTGATGCCAAGATGCGGCTCTTCAGCTCCATTCGCACATATTAATAATTATTCTAGTTTCGAAATTCTTAAAAATATTGTCCTGCAACATTCAGTGATGAACGATATAATGATAATATATAAACAATAAACACTCGCTATTCTATTAGAATATTTATTTACTCCATAATTCAATGTACTTTCTATTAAATTGGCCATCCCGAATCGAAACATTCAACTTCATATTAGATACTAAATACTGGATGTTACAAAGAAACTAAAAGAGCTAAATGTAAAACTGCAAGGAAAAGAAAACCAAGCCTATGCCTTGCTTGAAAAAGTTGATTGTTTCGAAAAAAAAAATTTTTGTTGTTGAGGACACAGAGAGTGATAAATTACTTAATGCTAATTTTAACATGAATTACTTCAGCATTACAATAAATAAAATGAAGGATGGGTTCACTGAGAGATTTGAGCAATTCAAAAGAAATGCGAGTACACTTTGACGTTCATAGTAGACCCTTTTAACACAAAAACAAATGAGATCAACATTGAACCATTTGGAATTGATACTGGTTCGTTTCATATGAAATGGCTGGATTTGAAAAATTCACGGAACTCAGGAAAAAGTTAGGAGATTTTGTGGTCTAGAAAAACATGCACGTTTCGCTGAACAACTGGACAGCTCTAAAATAAATGCACCGAGTTGAGGCACTATTATGTGACGCATGGACTATTCTCCCAGGATACTACAATGAAGTAAATAAGTTAGCATTTTGATTGCTGACGATCTTCGGGTCAACATATTCATACGAGCAAGCGTTTTCTTGCAAGAATATAATAAAACGTAAAGAAGCCAACCAGTGTTTCTTCCGGGCATTTCTTGAGAGGGGCTGCCCCCCCCCCCCCCCCACCAAAGAGAGCCTACCCCCTCCCCCGGGACGAAGTGGAATTTATAAGGAAAATATATACTTTTAACAGTTTCCGCCCCCTCGGAAATTTTAGTCCGTCCCCCGCAAAAATTTCAAGTGCCCCCCCAGGAGAAAAAAAATCTGAAAGAAACACTG